CAGGGCCATGGGCCAGTGAGGAGCATCTCGTCTCATAGTGGGGTTGGCCATGTGGTCCTCTCTGGACTGGCTGCTCTATTTGGCCTAGTGGGTCAGGATGCGCTCCAGTCTCTCCTCTTCCCCCGTCATCTGTTCCTGTGTGCTCTGGTCATCGCAGGGTATTTCTGACGCTAGATAACACGCACCCCAGATGCAGGCACCCTGGTGGTGCAGTGGAACACGCCTGGCGCCCTGACCCACAAGGCCAGCCTTTCACACCCACCCTTGCTCCTCAGGAGAAAGTTAAAGCTGTCTGGTTCCATAAAGATGTGAAATCCTGTAGACCCAAAGGGGCAGTTTGGCTTGGGAAAAGAGGGTGATCTTCACGAATGGGCATTGAAGGAGGTGCATTTAATACTAACCGAGTCAAGCTTTTATGTATTTATTTAAATATATGACTAAAAGGGAACGAAAGAGCCCATAAATGACATTAGAATCTATATCACTATTTTTCCATGTATAGGCTTAGTCAGAGCTTGCCAAATCTAGAGGTAGGTGAAAGAAAGTGGTTGATGTAGATGTGGAATGTATGTCGATTTTTACTGTGAATTAGGTCAAGGTTTACAGCACAATCAGTGTTACACTCAATTTGTAAGCATTGTGTCTCAATCCCCCTCCCCCATGTGTACCATCATGTACCCCACTTCTTCCCTGCTTTTACTGTTCCATTCCTCCTCCTTCCCCCCCCTCCCCCCCTTCCCCCATAACTCTGTCCTCACTTAGGTTAATGCTACCTTTGGTTGTTTTTGTGGGGCTTACATTTCAGACCATCAACCAACTGTGGTTTCAACAGCTCAAACCACTCCCCAGCCTCCTTCCATTCTGTTCCCATTCCCCCATTTCTCTTCCCTTCTGCGAATCTCTGCCCCTCCCAAAGGGAGCTAGCAGACTGCAGGAGACGTTGAACCAGTTGAGGTCAAGTCAGTTCCAACTCGAGCCACACCACGTGTGTCCCCGTAGATCTGGGCCCCAGCGAGTTTTCAGTGGCTGTTTTTTGGCAAGTAGATCCCTTGGCTTTGCCCCCCACGTGTTTCTGAGCAGACACAAACCCCCAAATGTTTGTTAGTAGGTGGGTGTCCTGTTTCCATCACCCAGGAGACCATAAGAATTGTTGCCCCCAAATCAAACTGGTTGCCACTGAGTTGACGGTAATCCACAGTGAGCCAATATAAGGTGTCCAAGACTGTCAGTCTTCCCAGGAATAGACAGCCTCTTTTGTGAAGGGTAGGACGGGACACTGGGAACACCTTTGTCTGTATCTTGAGTCCCTAGCACAGTGCCATGGGGTGTACGATTGTGTGTGTTTCCTCTTCTCTGTAAGCAGAGTAAAGGGAGGGCCGAAGAGATGCCAGCAGAGGCTGGACTCCCTCAGGGGTTGGGGGTACCAGGCTAAGCTTGTGCAGCCCCCCCCAGAGGGAGGAGTCAGTAAGTTATTCCTTGTTGGAAAGTGTTGAGGAAATCACATAATTTTACCCATTTCATAACTCTTTAGCAGGTTTTGGTACTCGATTATAGGCATATTGGAATTCAGGATAGTTAGTCCCAACTTTCATTTCCCTCCCCGGGATATATTGCCGGTCATATTGATTACTTTACCTCAGAAATGGTCCATGTCAACAACTAACATTTTTCTATTTCTTTCGTTTCAAATTAAAAATCTGCTTAAAAAAAAAAAAAGGTTAGAGAATTGGGGCTGTACATAACTTAAAACACACCCTCCCCCCTTTCCCAAATCATAGTCTGCCCCTCATATTGGCCATGTCTTTTTAAAACTTAGAAATGAACCTAAATTGAGGTGAGTCAGTTGGAAGCAAAATTAGGGAGACAAGAGCAGGGGTCTGCATGGAACTCTGGGGAAGCCTAGAAGCTGGCCTGCATCCCACCGTCACCACAAACGGTAGAGACGAAATAGGGATACAGTGCCCCGGCCAGGTTGTTCTTGTCCGTTATAACGGGAATTCCTGTAATGGATTTCTAGGGGAAAGAAATGGATAGTTTTCTGTAAGTTTGAAGCTTTAAAATCCTCAATCTTTTCTCATAAAACTGTTAGAGAGGTAGACGTCTGGGAAATACAAGAACATTTTTTGTGTTCTGTGTAGGTTGGAGAAGAACCATTTTCCCATAAGCCTTCAAGTAGATGGTGCCCAGAGGCTGTTTGTTTCTGGTGTGAGACATGACCATCAGGTGTACAAAGACAGTGGGAGGCTGACAGTAATTGAATCCACTACTTCTCATGTGGTTGATAGAAGACACCAAATTTGTTCAAAATAACTAGTGATATAAATGGATGAACATTTTTTAGTCCTTAGGTCAGGCACCATAATGTAGCTACTAACCTCTTCCTCTTCCCTGCCCATTTTCTCTCAATAACTATTCTTGAGTCTCAACATTAAAACGGCCAGAAAGCTTCAGAGAAGCTTCTAAATCTTGTAGGCAAGTCATGGATGATCGAAGTGCACCAAGGGGACGTCTATTATTAGACATTTTTGACAATGAGATCAAATAGCCAAGAGATTTGGGGGGCGGGGGGGGTGCCTGGTTCTTGGCCCCCGCCACCCGGCCCCGGTACCGTGTTAAGAACGAAAAGTTATGATGGTCAGTCTGATGTAGTGAATAAAACATTTAAGTTGCTTGGATTGAGAGATGATATATAACTTAAACCCATGAAGAAAAGAGGGAGTTTGTGCTTTAATCAACTCGTTTGTTTTGATAATTTTATGAAATGTGGTGCATGCTGTCCTGATGGAGAGCATGGGACGATTTCATCACCACGGTGTATTAAAACAAGAACCCGGATCATGTTGCCATTACAGGTGGGGCTGCTAAGGGCAAGGTCAGCAGTTCAAAACCACCAGCCACTCCTCAGGAGACAAATGAGGCTGTTTGCTACCGCAAAGAGCTACTACAGTCTTGGAAACCCACATGGGCACTTCTTACCCTATCCTACCGATAGGGTCGCTATGAGTCAGAATCGACTAGATGGCAGTGAGTTAAATTTTGAAAAGTATCAAAGGTACAAGACGATTGTGTGAAGCTCGGGTGCCAATTCATTCTTCTCTTCACTCTTTTCCAGGGTCGACATGTTAAAACCGGTCAGCTGGCGGCCATCAAAGTTATGGATGTTACTGAGGTAAGGTTGAATCACAAGTGTTTTTAAACAAACTGCTGGGTAAAATAAGGCTCATCCCCTAACTCCCCACCCCCACTCACCCCGTAAGTGTATTGTTCTGTTTGGAGAAGCTGATTAGAAGCAAATTGCCCTCCTGTGATACCGTAGTTCATAAGATCCATTAGACTAGTTGACTTAAATTATTGGCAGATGGTCCCCAAGTAACTAAGAATCAGTAGCTTTTCCTTTTAAAAGCCGTATCTGAATGATGTCATCCTTGGCAACATAATAGACCCTAATTGGAAACATTTTCTCTAATGGCAAGGAAAGAATTGAGGAGGGTTCGTGAAGGTCACGTGAATAGGGAGGTTGAAGGGGGTGGGGTGGAGGGAGGGAAGCCTCTCCAGGGTATTAGGCCACATTTGTGCTCTTTCTTTTATTTTTAACACGGGCAAGAACAGAGCCAGTGAAGTAAGTTCCCAGAGGTTTGAAAACAGAAACATCTGCTAGAATGCGGAGCAGATTGTTGGCAACATTTAATAGCAAAAAATAGTTCTTGAAATGGTCACATGGGGATTTACTGTGCAGCTTTTAGATGAGAAAGGAGAAATTAACCCAGACAAAAACATGCTAGCATGGGTGTGTGTGTGTACGCGCGCGCACATGCATGAGTCTATATTTATTTTTAAATAGCCATAGATTACAATGAAGCAGATCCATCTTATTTTTAATTTATTTATCAGATATACTTTATTTTTAAAAAATCATTTTATCGGGGGCCTGGACAACTCTTATTGCAATTCATACATCCGTCTATTGTGTCAAGCACATTTGTACATTTGTTGACATCTCCATCTCATTCTAAATGATTTTTATCTGAAATTTTGCTTTGTTTCTCATAATGGCCTCTAACTTGCCTAATGATGCAAAGGGTTCAATTCGTATTTCACAGATTGTAGAAACAGCGCTGTCTCTTACATCAAACCACAATCTCCCGAAAGCTGCAGTCTAGAGTGGGAAGTCACGGTTAAACTTGGCTCAGGTGTTCAGTCGAGTGGAGAGAGCCAGGTTTCGCCCTCTGCCTTGCTCCCCTAACACAGCCATCTCCAGTTCACAAGCTCATACTGTAGCGTCCATGGCCTACTTCGTATTGTTAGTGAGCATTAGAGAACAGTGGCGTCATCAGACTGCAGGACCACAGGGAGAGGTTCAGACCAGTATTGGAAGATGGACCATTTTATGAGATCACTGTTCATTTTGACCCTCTGTCCGACAGGGTTCTGGAGACCGTATAATGAAAAAGTACATTGTTTGGTTGCGTGGCCCAAAGAACTTTTTAACATAAATTTGCTATGAACTGTTCTTTTGCATCCTAGTGATGTGCAACTCCTTGGTGTGCAACTCTGTATAAAATTAGATGCTTTCAGCTAAACATTAATTTAAAGATTATTTAAGAGAATAGTGAAGCAGAAAAATTTCAATTCATTGTCATTTATTTTTCCCCATTTATTATAATTTAAATGAAAACAGCAGTTTAGTTAGGCTTGAAGGGTTGTCTCAGTTAATGGCATGACTGACATCTTCGTAGCCGGTCTGCAGGCCTGCTGCTGTGTGTGTGTCGCAGTGTCCCTTGGAGAACTGCGGTAGCTGGAGCCTGCACGCTTTCCCTGTGTAGTAAACACACTTCAGACTTGGCATGGGATTTTTTTTTGGAATTGCATGAAGCATTTAAAAGTCCTGAGAATTTCTCCCCTCTCCTCCTGGTGTCCTGCCACTTCTGTGGCCCTGACGGCGGGTGGTCAGCCACAGCAAGCTTTTGTTGGGGTTTGTCTTCTGTGGAGGCCCTCTCCCTCTAAACCTGCCTCTGCTATAAGTATGCAATTCATGACTCCGCCGCCAAGTGTGGACTGTAAGAAATTACAGGGACAGGTAACCTCCTGCCTACTATGAAGAAGCTTTGAAAGTTCATGGGAAAACTCCACGATCTTTCAACAATTTGAAGCCCCTCGTACTTCCTTAGGATGACAATAGCCGCTGTTGGTGCTTGGGGGGGGAGGGGGGGGTCTCCTTCTAGTCATCTCCATGTGAGCCTTGGTACAGAATATTCACACTCCGTGGGAATAGACACTTTTGTGTCCCACTTTTGCTCAGTTGTGCATGAGAGAGGTTTCATTGCTTAGAAAATCAGTCAATGTTGAACACATGCATGATAAAGTACTTGCAGGACTGCTTTAAAAAGAATTAAGCAAAACCGATGTATTCAGGTAAAATGAGAGCCAGATGGTAAGTCTTTAGAACAAACCCAAACCCAATCATCCATTTACATACTGGCTTCAGTAATGTCTCTTGTGTGCCATTTTCTCTCTCTCTCTCCC